ACTTACTATTTGACTTTCGTCAGCTGCCATTATTCTTTAGTGTTAATCCCTTTCGATATCTTAATGATTATTGTAGACACAGTCTTGTAAATAAATCTTGATTAGTCTTCATCAGCAGCCTATGCTAGTCAATTTCTCTGTTGTTTTTACTCCATTTTGTTATTGTTATGGCGGAAGCTGCTGACCAGCCAAATAATTTGGCTGTCAAACGTTGGCTCGTCGCATTATTAATTCGCACCCCCCCTCTATTGAGGACAACCATTTTTGGTCCCCCCCTCCCCTAGAATTTCGAAATTCCTTGACAGTTTTTGATCTAGCCAGTGGAAATTCCGTACTGATTCTTTGATTAGTAGCTATCCCTTGGAAAATTCCTTGCTGATTTTTATCCTATCCTTTGGAATTTCTTTTCCATTCTTGACCTCCCATGGAAATTCCATACGTTTTACTCATTTTTCTTACCTACCCTTTGGAATTTCCGCAGATTTGCTTTAAAATTTGGACTCTCCCATGGAAATTCCTTCATTTTTGGTTCACTTTTGGAGGGGGCCATTGGAAATTCCACATGTCCTCAAAGGGGGGGGGGGGGTTGATTAATAATGCGATCAGCCGTTGTAGCCTTGGAAGATTTTGCCTCCATCAAACAAAGATCATGATAAACCTACATCCTTCCGAAAAATAGTAGCTTTATATGCCTTAACTGACAAAGTATCTATAAATTTTTCTGATATATTTTCCAAATATAGAAATGTTTATGTATTTAGAAAAATTAGATTTAGTCTGTTTCATTCTTGACGGAGCAAAGCTTAACATTATTTCCGGACAAATATTTTAAATAAACACATTTTAATATTAAAGATATAACAATTGCCCAAGAGCTTTTAGCTCATCAAGGGGCTCTTGTTCTATTTACAGGAATTAGGTTGCAAGTAGGCCGTAAATATATTATGTCAATTTAAAATATAACCGGACAAATTAATATAACCAAATATTAGAAATTTTTAGAATTGGGTACAATTTCATAACTTTTACCAAACATTGACAAACTTTTGCCAAGTTTGACCTGCAGTTTCGAAAGCAAACAATTCGCGACATGTTGCACGTGTTTTTGACAGCCGAATTATTTGGCTGGTCAGCGGCTTCCGCAATATAACTATAACAAAATTGAGTTATAACAATGGAGGAATGACTAGCATTGCTTGTTGACAAAAGAAGCAAGATTTTATACATATGAGACTGTGTCTAAAATAATCATAAGATGTCGAAAGTGATCAATTTAAAACCCTAAAGAATAATGGCAGCTGACGAATGTCAAATAATATGTCAACTGACAATCGATTCGTTAATCGAGGCATATATTATCTTTGTATAAATTATATTGGGGTAGGTTTTCTCTTGACTTTTTAAATAATCTTCAAAGTAAATCGATGTTCGATAATTTGTTGACTAACGGACATCTTTACCTGTTGCAAATTTATAATTTGTCTTTGTTTATATTCAGCTAGAGAATTTTTATTATTTATACAATACGGCCCATACTTAACGGAAATGCCTGTGTCAGTGCATTTCCCTAAAAAGACTTTAGACAACAACGAAGGTCAAACTAATGTTATCACTGTTCTAGGTCAAAATAATAAGTAAAATTTCGGTTTTGAAAGCAGAGTTTGCAGTAAACGGTGAACGTTCTTATTTGATCTAAACTACCGAAAGTCGAAAATGTTGATTATTTGTTGGCCTGTAGTACCCCCAAAAATTACAGGCCGCAATATTTAATTTTACATTATGTAAGACCAACCTTTAATCTCACCATACAAATAATATTACATTCATGGCAAGTCTAACTTTTGAATTTTAGGATTTTTATTTCAACATTTTTTAAGGAACTTGGAAATCTCTATTTTAGTCTGTCATGAATGGCGTCATTTCTATATTTAGAAAACATATTTGAAAAATGTGTAGATACCTTTTTACTTAAGACATATAAGGCTACTATTGTGTGGAAGGATTTAGTTTTATCTTTATTTTTGTTTGATGTAGAGAGGTTTAAAAAGCAGTAAAAATCCACTGTTTGAGAAACAGCAAAAATCATAATTTTAGCCCTCAACTTGACCCCCCTGGAACTTTGCCAAAATGCAATTAGACTGAAAACAAAATGCATTTTGAAACAAACCTTGTAAAGGCAATCTCAAGTACAAAGTTTGAGAGAAATCTATTTCTTGATCCAAAGAGGTCATGAGGTTCTTACAGAGACTGCCTCTTAATACTTTTTCGTGCCTGCGAGCGAAAAACAAAATGTGCCTGCAAAAACACATCTTATTTAGATTTTGTGACCTGAATATTGTTAAAATGTCAGTATTTTAAAATGTACCTGCAAAAATTGAAAAGGTGCCACACATTTCATTTGTTTTATTAATATTGCAGAATGTCTGCGACCACTATACCAACTGTTTATTTATGACTCCGACAGATGTGATAAATAAAAATATGTTTTATTGCCTGTAATACACAGGTTGCGTTTTATTTGTAATAATTCTTGAATGCATGTATTAAATTTATTGATAAATCTTCATTCATTTGATATAGGGCAACCTATTATTAAATGTGGTGGTCTTATTCTCTGGTAGCCACTTATAAGCAACTAAAACATTTTTTAAAATTTCAACCCCTGGGCCCAATTTACAAAAACAAAAATTGTATTACGGACCATACCATGAACATTTTCTAATGACTATCACAATCTTTTATTTAATATATATTATACTTATTGCTACAAAGACAGTTGTACCCAGTGCCAATGGCCAAAAGCAGGCCATATTTTAGAAATGACGGTACCCGGACATTTTATCGAAAGACATTTTGCCGAACGGATGTTTTGCCGACGGCAAAATGTTTGGGACTGTGACTCATTTCTCAACTGTGTATTTCTCAACCATTGTGTAAAATAACCATTTATATGGTCATTAGCAGTACATAATAGTCATTAGCAGTGCATAATGGTCGTTAGCAGTGCATAACCATATTGGCTATTGGTAGCTTGTTTGTGCAGCGGATGACTCATTTGTTAGGAACGTGTTTTGACGTCAGGTCGTAAACAAACAAGCGTATATAAAGGCAATGACGTAAGCAAATTTCACTTCGAGAAACATGGAACACATACACAGATCTCGGGGAAATCGCAAATTGCTTTACGAATGAGTGATGTTGAATGATGTTATTCTTTATATCGCGAAATTTCGGTAAACTTTACAAAAACTTGAAAGAATATAAAACGAAACTACTTCACTCTCAAAGCTTCTGTCATCAAAATTGACAATGACTTTAATCACAGAAACATTGACCGTGTAAGCGAACCTTTAAAATTCAGAAAATATCTCTATTTTCGGCAAGTTGTCCGTTCGGCAAAATGTCCGTTCGGCAAAATGTCCGTTCGGCAAAACGTCCGTCGGCAAAATGTCTTTCGGCAAAATGTCTTTCGGCAAAGTGTCTTTCGGCAAAATGTCCGGCCACCGAAATGGCAAGTCAAAAAACAATGATGGCTGGTGAAATTCTGTTGATATATATTTAATTTCATATGCTTACCACAACTCATACAGTATGTACTAGTCAAGATCATTTAGTTGACTAAATACAGTATGTTTATATTTGAAATGTAAATTCAAGATTACTGTATAGTAAAATAGACAAGTTTAAAAATAATAAAAATGATTATCATGAAAACATTGAATTTTACAAATATGACTCCTATGAGACATCGCCATTTTGGCAGTTCAATGAATAAAAGTGGCAGGCTAAAATTTATTTCACCTGGCAAAAAATTTTAGAATGGCAGGCCATATTTTTTCTCTACATCTCAAACTCATTAATAATTCATGAGCAAATTAGCGAATGAACTCACCCTAATTCGTCACATGATTGAGGTTGGATACCGCAAGGAAACACGCTAAAAATCATATACCATCACTGTTGTTAGATGAAAAACGGTTTTCATCTAATAACTGAGATCCTAATTACAAATTCAAGTCAAAACACAACAATATACTATAATAATATATATAAGCCAATGAAATGTTTTCGTTTGAGATGTTGTGTAAACAATTCGTTTCTCGTGTTTCATCAGGGGACCAAACACTCGAAAACAATAAAACACTCGCGCTTCGCGCTCGTGTTTCATACAGATTTCTCGTGTTTGGATCCCCTGATGAAACACTCAAACTCGTTGTTTACATATAACTTCGAGCCCTGATACCCATGTACTTAAAAGGAATCGTCCTCCCCAACATGCCATGCATGTCACTGCTCAGAGTGCAACCTGCGCAATTTCTTACTAGAAAAACGCCTGGATCATAGACGGATTTTCATATTTTTTACTGGGGTGGTGCCAGAAATTTTAGGGGGGTGAGCCGTGAGCAGGTGACTGAAGCAACACAAAGTGTCACCAAACCCCAGTAAGGTCTATATTCTAGGGGTGGAGCACTAGAGCCGTGAGGGGGAGTCTAGAGAGCAGAAAACAAAGTATCCCTGGAAAAATTTGAAAAAAATCATGATTTCTAGCTTCGAAAAAACGTTTTTTGAAGTTGTCATATCAATGGATTTGGCCTGTCCGATCAGGGCCGTAGCTAGCATGTATAGTTGGGGCGGGGGGAGGGTGTAGGCCAAATATTTCCGAATGAAGAAAAAATTTTCCGAATATTTCATGGCATACGAAGCAACGAAGGTGTTTGCTATCTGGAAAATGAAGACGCAATTTACAAACAAAAATACACATAGCCCACATAGTTTCCACAAAGACATATTACAGAAGTATGCAGTGCCGTAGGAAGCTCTTTTTGATTGGGGGCTGGGAACGAGGGCCGAAGGCCCGAGGAAATTTTTAAATTTAGATTCTCTGAAATGCCATTTCCTGGACTTTGGGGGAAGTTTTGACAGAATTCTGATGGTCAGAAAACAGAGATTTAATATGATATTTGTGATGTTACTCTGAGAATGCATCCACAGTGGGCAAGCTGAAAAGTGTGCGTGGCCACGGTGGGAGTCGAACCTGCGACCTTTGGGATACTAGTCCAATGCTCTCCCACCTGAGCTACGTGGTCAAGTCGGTTCGACTTGTTGATATTTCGGAACTGAATCTAGTTCCTTCGACATCAGTGTAATCTTTGATATGATTTATGTGTGTGTGTTGGTGTTGTGTACTCAAGTGAATATGATGTTTGTGATGTTACTCTGAGTATGCATCCACTGATCCACACCGGGCAAGCTGAAAAGTTAGCTTGCCCACGGTGGAAATCAAACCCGCGACCTTTGGGATGCTAGTCCAATGCTCTGCCAACTGAGCTACGTGGTAAAGTCGGTTTGAGTTGTTAATAGAGTTTTAGTATGTCGAAATTTACAATTTGCTTACAATTTAGCAGAATTAAATGGGCGAAGTCGTATTTAGCTATATATTGGAGAAGTTGCAGGAAAGAGTATGGGTAATATAATTCTTTGCGGTTTGTCATGGATAATGTAGCCGCTTAAAATTAATCAATTGTTTAAATGATAAAGGTGTGCATGATTTTGAAAAAAGACTGATTATCAGCAAATTATTGTAAGGGTGCTGCCTCCCCCCCCCCCGGTTGCTACGGCCCTGAGAAGTACTGAAACCGAAAAAAATTTACCGATTTACGATTTGTTAAACGTTATCCGGCATGTAAATGCCGTGATTTCGTAAATCATTTTATACTGATTATAATATTATAATATTTTTTCTGTTTAATTAAACAATTAAAATTTTGTTATACTATTATTGCCGTAATTTTCCGAATGGCCAACCCGATTTTCCAAATATGTTAATTCTACAAAATTGGGTTAACCACCCCCCCCCCCAACACCCCCTCGCTACGGCCCTGTGTCCGATTGTCTGTTGAGACTTGAGAGAGTTAAAGTTAAATGAACCTGTAAAAGTGTAAACCCAATAGGCCAATACACAATATGCTTTTACTTTTATAAACGAATTAAAAAATTAAAAAGAATTAAAAACGAATTACAAACCTAAAAGAATTAAAAACGAAAAATAATGTTTGTTAAAATTCCAAACGTTCCTTGCAAGCAAGCTATTTGCATGACAAGGCACTGCAAACTCTATTCAGGGGAGATAATAGAGTTTCAAAACTTTACAATTGCTCCAATAATATTGCTTTCTATTTGAGTGTACTCCTACGTTTATTTTGTATCATCAACACTCAGCACGTTGGAGTGGATTATTTAATTATTTTTTATTATGCCGAATATTGGGGGGGGGTTGAAAATTTTTTTGGAGGGGTGGAAATTTTGTTTGGGGGGGTTATAGCTAATATTGGGGGGGTAGCACCCCCCTGCACCCCCCCACAAAATCCGTCTATGCATTAAATAATGGCTGTGAACTTGCCATTTCCAATATTCAAAAGTACAGGAGAAGACAAGCGCGACATGGAGATCTTTGAAGAAGATTTAAAAGATTACTGTACGCTAAATAATTGGTATGACCCATCAAAGTCAACCGAAGAAGAAAGATGGATCAAAACTGACAAAGCAATAGCTTGCCTTCGAGCGTGTCTTACACCATCAGCAAGAACTGTATACAAATACAGCTCAGGTCTTAGCGAAGCAGAGCAAAAGAAGCCTCATTCAGTACTTCAAGCATTGCGAGAATATTACGGCGCAAGTATTGGAGTCTCGGGGGAATGGCAAAAATTTGTTCGCTTACTGCAACAAGACGCTGAATCGATAAGTTCATGGGAGTCCCGTATACGAAATCAGAGTGCTCAGTGCGAATACGAGAGTTTTGAAGACGCGAGACCAGTTCATATCAGGCTTAGCATCAGAACAACTCCGTGTTAAGCTCATCGGCAAAGGTCACATAAGGACGGTGAACGAGCAAAGGTTACCCTGCGAGAAGTTGTCGAAGTTGCTAAAACATTTGAAGCAACGACCGTGACAAATCAACTCATGAAAACGGCCAGAGAAACACAAGTGTATGAACAAGTCAATTATAACAATAATACGAAACAAAAGCAATCGAACCGTGACCCGTGTTTTTGGTGTAGTGGCCAACATAAGCAACCCCGGCAGAGATTCTGTCCAGTGTATTCGAAAAGATGCAACAAATGTGGCACACTCAGACATTTTGCCAGAGCTTGTAGAAACGCTGGAAACGTCCCTGGAAGCGTCGAGAGTCGAAAACCATACAGGCAACTGCAACAACAACAATATGCAAATCAAGTTGAAGATAATTATGTAAATGAAGAATTGTCCATGACAGATCACGATATGAACAAACAAGATAATGCAAATGGACGAAAATTCTTCGCACATCTAACCGTTGTCGAAACCAATCGATCAAAGGTTGTCAAAGCACAAATCGATTCAGCGTCAACGTGTAATACTATCCCTGTGAACATTCTACATCAACGTTTCCCGAACATTAAAATTGAGAAAACCAAAGCTGCGATCCAGACGTATGGAGATCAAAGGATAAAACCAAAGGGCAAAGTGACTTTCTGCTGTGAAAGGAAAGGAAAATTGCATCTACTTGATTTCCTGGTAGTCGACGTACCTCGTGGAAAGCCGCCATTGTTGAGTGGTCGAGACGCAGAGATCCTGGGATATTTGGATATTCATGCAGATGAGATTCATTCCGTGAATGAAGTAAAAACGGACAAGAATTCAAATGTGCATAATCAGAAAATCCAGAATGAACAGCTCAATCATCAGAATTCAGAGTGCAATGCCCAAAGTCCAGCAAGCAACATCCAGGGTCAAGAAAGTGTGCGTCAAAGAACCCAACCCCTTCACAAGTCCAGCAAAATTCCACAATTGGGGGAGTTAACGAAAGACTTTGTTCTAGAGCATTATGATAAAGTATTCCAACCAGGAAGAGGAAATCCATTGGGTGCACCCATGCATATCGAGATGGATCCCGACATTCGATCAGTACATGCTCCTCGACGACGTATTCCCGTTGCAAAGGTACAGAGAGTTAATGAAGCATTGGAGAAGCTCTGCGAAGAACGTGTTATAGTTCCAGTCACACAACCAACGAACTGGTTATCGAACATGTTGATAAAAGAAAAGCCTAATGGAAAACTCTGAATATGCATTGATCCAAGTCAGACAATAAATAAAGCAATAAAGCGTCCAATCTACACTATTCCAACAATCGAAGAAAAGCTTCCATTTCTTACCAAAGCGAAAGTGTTTACAATTGTTGACGTGTCGGAGGCGTTCCACAACGTAGTTTTAGATGAACTCTCCTCTTTACTTACAAAATTTCAAGGCCCAAATGGACGCTATAGATATCTGCGCATTCCATTTAGAATCTCATCTGGTCTGGAAGAATACCAACGAAGACAGCGAGAATTTCTGGAGGGCTTGGAGGGTGTCATAAACATTGCTGATGACATTTGCATTTTTGGATGTGGAGATACAGACGAACAAGCAAGTAAAGATCACGATAAGAACTTAATTGCATTACTGAACCGATGTAGCGAACGTGACCTGCGATTATCAGCCAAGAAAATCCAATTCAAAGCAACTTCGGTCTCTTTCATGGGACACATCCTCACCGACAAAGGCGTTGCCCCTGACCCATCCAAAGTGATCGCTATACTTGAGATGCCAAAGCCTGTCGACAGAAATGGAGTTCAACGTTTCTTGGGAATGTGTCAATACCTGTCGAAGTTTTGCCCAAAACTGAGTAAGATTGTCTCACCATTGCGAGATCTAGCTAGAATAAACGTAGAATTCATATGGACAGATGTTCACGAAAGCGCTTTCAACTCGGCGAAAGATCTCATTGCATCCAGCACTATTCCGCAGTACTATGATGTCACGCTACCTGTAACCTTGCAAGTAGATGCTTCAGATGAAGCAATTGGTGGGGTTTTACTTCAGAACGGGAAGCCAGTGTGTTTTACGTCGCATACTCTTGATTCAACTGAAAGAAACTACGCGCAGATTGAGAAGGAGTGTCTGGCCATCGTTACTTGTATGAGCAAATGGCACCAATACCTCTACGGGAAGAAAAACATCCTCGTTCACACAGATCATCAGCCACTGGAAACAATCTTCCGAAAACCGTTAAGTAAAGCACCTAGACGACTTCAGCGCATGATGCTCAAGTTGCAACAGTACCATTTCTCAGTCCAGTACAAAAAAGGGAAGGAGATGTATATAGCAGATACTTTGTCTCGAGCAGCTTTAACCAATCCCACGGCAATGGGGACAGGTGAAGAAGTGTTTCGCATGGAATTATCATCAATGGACCTTAAACCACCTAACTTGTCTAATGTCACCTTGGAGCGACTAAAAGAAGTATCAAGCGACGCAACATTGAAATCACTTTATGAAACAGTACTAATAGGATGGCCGTTAGAGCATCGCTACCTGCAGACCTTCGGCCATATTGGTCTTTCAGAGACGAGATTTCTATTGACAATGGTGTACTATTGAAGTCTCATCAAGTAATCATCCCGCCATCAATGAGACAAGAGATGTTAAACAAGATTCACAAAGCTCATCAAGGTGCAGACAGCAGTATAAGGAGAGCCCGAGAAACACTATTCTGGCCAGGTATGTCAGCGGCAATACGCCAAACCTGCTTGTCATGTGGTCTGCATGCACAGTATAAATCAGAACGACCAACCGAACTGATGAAATCTCAGGAGATTCCCACACTTCCATGGGAACGAATAAGTGTTGATCTATTTCAATTGGATGGTAAAACGTACTTGGTAACTGTTGATCATTACAGTGATTTCATAGAAATTGATTGGCTAAAGAATACGTCAGCAACGGCAGTCATCAATGCTATGAAAAAGAACTTTGCCAGAGAAGGAATTCCTCGTGCATGCGTCAGTGACAATGGTCCACAGTTCAGTAGTCATGAGTACAGCCAATTTGCCAGTGAATATGGATTCAAACCAGTTAAGTCGTCGCCTTATCATAGCAAAGGCAACGGAAACGCAGAATCTGCGGTAAAGGTGGCGAAAAATATTCTAAAGAAAGCGCGGCATGAAGATCCCTACTTGGCATTGATGGCATACAGGAACACTCCACAACAGGGCCACACGTTTTCACCTGCTCAGAGGCTTATGAATCGGAAACTACGAGATATCACTGTGTCAGTACCTCAACAACTTAAACCACATCCTGTTTCCAGCACTGAAGTTGTGAATGATATAATGTCGCATAGAGTACGGTCCAAACAACAGTATGATATGGAGAAGTCGTAAAAAATCGTGGCCATCGGTCGTGTGTCGTCAATATGGCTGTTGGACTAATTCAACGAAACCATAAACAACTCCGAAAAGCTGATGTCACACCGCAGGCTTTCAACAAAACGAACCATGAAGAATTGGAAATAGTATCCCTCCCAGACGAAACCTTACCATCATCAATAGCATTACCTACGGAAACAACCGAGGAACAAGTAACGGCGCTACCATCTCCAGTAGTGGAAACACAGCCAGCACCTCTACGTCGTTCGACAAGAATTCGTAAATCGCCAGTAAGACTTAAAGATTATATACGGTAACATTTAATCCTTAAGAAACATTTATCTCAACTTAGTACTTTTCTTTATAAGAACATTTATTTGAACTTCATATTATTGTTTAGAAACTTTGTTTATTTGAACTTCATATTATTGTTTTAAAAAAAATGTGTAAAAAAAAAGACTTTTATAAGGGGAAAGGTGTTGATAGGTTATATTAACATTTATGCTAATCATGCATGTAAACAGTATAAATACAGTAGGTTCTTATTATGTATGTTACTTAGGTTCTAGAGAATAATAAAGCAATATTAACAAATAGACTCTGTCTACCTGGAATAGAATCCACCATTTCATTAAACGTCTCTATTGCTGTTTTATGCAGTTCCATTGCTCGCACCATCTGTCGTTTTAACCTCTCTTAGTTTGGACTTACTTTGTCGACCATAATGCAGCAAGCAATCAGTTAATGCATCAATTCGCCTAGAGGGAGACATCTCCTTAGTAATTGATGCAAAACCTCTCAAGTACGACCACAAATGCTCGATCACTTCACCATCAGTGAGGCCACATCCTTCCACCTGTCTAAGACTATACATAATCTACATGAACATAAAGAATACTTAGTTGGTACTGTGCTTGGTTGGTTGGAAGGAGGATGAACATTTACCTGACATTGAGCTTTATGATCGTACACGTGAAATATCCGGGATAGCCAAATTGATATGGGCCAAAATGTCTGAGAATTCCACTGAATTCTAAACAAAAGTAATAATCTAGAATTATTAAAAGTAAATCATTTTAAGTAAATCTTGCTGTACTATAATAAAAACTTGTTCTGTATGACAAAAATAATGTGAGAGTACTTCTGCCATGACGTATTTACCTGCAAATGATGGTGAAGTATACAAGAAATATACAAAACACTGTAGCTCATATTTTTCTCTTTCGCTTTCGACACCATATCGTTGATAAGCCAAACAGCGTACGAAATTCTAAATACAAGAAACACTGCATTAAATAATCTACTCTTAATGAACCTTTTTTCACATACATTCACAAACTACACGGTATTTTGCAGATTCTTCTTGCAGTATAAACCTTCATCGTGGATGCACCAGGATTTTGGCATCTCACTAAATTTGAAAAAGTTTTTGTAGATGAAAATTCTTACTTCTTAAGACTCAACCAGGAGTACTTGCAATAAATATAACTATAGGCCCTCAATAGGCGAAATTGAAACTGCAGTCCAACGATTTTGAGGCAGCGTCTGTGGACATTTCTACAAAAACTCTTAAACAACTTGTATACACAGTATATACAACTAGATACGATGTAACTAAATACAAAGTACTTTGGTAAGTGATATTGCGTATCCTGAAATAATTTCACCATGAGTAAATTGTGCTGTACTTCACATACCTTTCACCATGCTTTAAATTTACAAAAGCTTTTGGAAATTCGTGTCTGCATGCTCTACCGAATATCCCTGTCTCGTCTAGTCCTGCAAATCTCTGGTTTGATCTCAACGCATTGCCGGCCAAGAAATTGTTGCAGTCCTACAATGTAGGTAAAAATAATATGTTTTGAAAGTCAAACGAATCTCTCCATGTACAACTTATCACATACACTCTACCGTACATAATTTTATATGTTAGTGAAATGAAATGTAAAATCACTCTGGAATATTAAAGTAAGAATATGAAAGAAGTACATACACTATCAGAACCCTTATCTTGATAATTGTTGACAAAATTATCTACAACTTGCTGATCAGCAAAGAGAAGACCAGATCGTACAGGCTCCAATACACCAATGCCAGATGACTTCTTCCTTGGTAGTCCAAAAAGAGCATCAAACGATTCATATAAAACACCATTTTCCTTTAAAATAATTACTACTAATTAACTCACTGAGAGGCAGCACTCTTCCCTTGACAAGTAAAATCATCTGGTGCCATGCCAGGCAGTGTAAAATAATAAAGTAGGGTACAGCTGGGTGCCAAAATGAAGTTTTAATCAATATCTTTGAAGGGTATAATGATTTAGTCCTGTTTTACATAAACTTTAGCTTCAATATTCTTGTTTCAAATTAATTGTATCACCAAAATGGTTTATAAAACATTTGAATCTGGCCTGTATCTTATTTATCATGGCTCACCTTGCACATCAGATACAGTACAAACTGACTGAGATTTAGTGCTGGAATATTTGATGCAGCAATATACAGTTGCATGGCTAATTTCCATCACTTAAACATACCTTAGGACATGCGGGATAAATGTTTTCTCCATCACGTTCAGGGCATATATCTTTTAGTGCACGCAAGTCAAACCTAAAATGCCTAAATATTAAATTTAATAAGAATATTTAATAATAATTAAGATCTTTTTAATGAGTAAAACTGCCAGGTTTTAGCAACTAATTTATTATTTTACCTAAACTCTTCAAATGCATCAAGCATGTTCCTATATATTTCAATCGGGCTGTGTGCAATCTAACAAATAATGCAAAAATATATGTTACACTAAAGGGCAATTACAATTATGAATATACAATAGTCAACCATTTTTTACACAGAGACTGGTGAAATTTATACATGTTGTGGACCCTACAGCTGTAAAGAGAGGTTCAATAGGGGTACAATTTACAATTTACAAATCAATAAATCTTTGCATGTTTGCATGATAATAAATTTAATTTATGGTTACATGTATGTTTCGTATATATACTGTGACACCTTGATTCTTAATTTAGACATGCAAAAAGACATGCATTCAATTCAAGACCATTCGTGTAGAATCTTCCTTCAATTCCAAGGCTTTGTCTTGAAGACAGGACAAGAGAAGCTTTAAACTTTTCTGACCGATTCTTTCTGAACCACTCATGAAATCCTGGTGCTCTCTGTTCCCACACGGTCTTGAGACTTTCCAACTTGACGTCAAATCTTCCTCATCCAAGGCATCAGCTAGACCACTTTGCAAAAGTACGTCATTCTGGGTACCGTAAATGTTGGACATGATGCTGAGTTTTGATCGTTGGTTGCATCCGAGTGATTGTAGCTTATGAGCATCACGTTCCTGCATATGCTGAGTGCAGTAGAGTTGCTTAGCCTCTCAGAATATATCAGTAACACCTTTGGCGATGGCTTGGTCCAGGTCATGTCCTATCTTCTTTATACCCAGAAGTTCAGGCTTTGCAATTGCTAACTCTCCAGCGAATCGACGGTAACTTTCACGTGTTTTCTTGAAGTGCCAAAAACTAGGGCCAGGAAACTCGGGATTCTTACCATTTAAGTCGATTAGTGCCTCATTTGTAAAGGTGGTGTCTGTTAGCCAAAGAGAATCTACCAACTCAAAAGTTGTATCGATCCGAAGAATGGAAGGCTATTCACACTGATGTACTGTTCTTTGCTGAAGGTTATGCTGTTGATAAAGGGAACAGTACGAAGGCTTGATACAAGGATGTCAGCTTCACTATGGCGCTCCTGTTCAATTTCAAATGAACTCTTTAATGCAAGCTTTCTGTTGTCAATAATTTTAGGGCAACTACCAGTTTGACTTACAGTTTTAACGTTCCTATTTGCCATGGTGGAGTATATTCTTTCTGTGGACATTCCTTCGCTGATCATGTCTTCAATATCTGTAAATACACCTGGGTCTTGCTGATAATATGCACTCGTTGTTGGTTTTGTGGCATTACCATGTCGAGAAAGGACAAACTCTTTTTGCTTGCCATCAGCCCACCGGTACATTACCGGTACATTACACCGGTACATTACATCAAATAATATGGCTTCATCTCTTTTTCATTGCATGCTCGCACGGTAGCAGTTAGGCGAGAAAAATCAGGATTATTCTTACTTGTCCGGTAAAGTCACGTTAGCTCATAAACCTGACTTTCGGGGACAACTCGTCTTCTGTATTCTTTAGACACTTTTTCATTTACGTACCATGTGCCATCTTCATTTTTGTGGGCTGTTTGGGAACCATGTTCAGTGTATGTATAATGCTTCTTAGCACTACCTTTGGAAAAGTAAGCACCATCGGCACCAGCAGACACAATGGAAATTTTACGCATATCCAACGTGAACATTTTATTTTCTCGTATTCCTGAGGGTTTGTGTTTGAGCTCTAGCTCTTCGGATTTATGAAGTAGTATATTCAAGATTGTCTGGTGGTCTGACGTCTCGTCAACAACTGGTGGTGTTTTGTCAATAACATCCGGTTCTTTTTTTACCCTGAAGTGAAAGAAGAAATGAGAAACGAGACCTTCGAAGGCTGCTTTCAAGGCTATAGTACATATACAGTACTGTACAATGGAAAATACATACAAGTAGGAGTTGAAACTTCAAACACTCATTAATAATTCATAAACTTATTGGCAAATCATGTCAACAATAATATGTCATGTGCAGTGGCCTTGAACCTGATAAAACAATCCTAATTAGTATTCTTTATAGAAAGAATATTAACAAGGCAGTATATCTATTGAATTTGTAGTCGTGTTTGAAGCCATTTAATAAACTTGCAGGTCGTGTTTTATTAGGTCTAAAGCCACTCGCGCTGCACGCTCGTGGCTTTAAACCTAATAAAACACTCCTGCTCGTTTATTAAACAGTACTTAGTAGAAACTACATGAAGACAAAGTTTTTGCATTGGAAAACAATTACCGTAACATTTCCAGTGGGGCGGCCACTTTCGGCTTGGGTGTGTGTTTTTGTGGGGTGAACGCAGTGTTATAAAATTGCAATTGCAAACTCCTCAAGCTGCAATGCCAGTAGACTTATTTATGTAACATGTACCTATATTTCAGGAAGCTCAAGTCCCTGGCACTCCCTGAATTTCATAGTTAGTAGGTACCTACCTAGTATCTAGTGAATATCACAAAGACACAACATACCGCCGGTGTGACGGCTGGATAGGCTAGACAATTAGCCATTCCGAAGTTGATGAGAGGACTGGGAACGAGTATTAAAAAGTGCCCAAAATTAAGAAATGAACTAAATCACTAAAAAGACAACCTCAAAATTAGTAAGTATACAAAGTTTGAAGACGCTTACATGAATACCCTTCGAATAACAAGCTTTCAAAAATTGTGAAATTACTGTCCCAAAAACAAAAATTACAGTACATTTCATAGTAGATATCGGATCTTCGAAAGCTTATTATTCGAAGGGTATTCATGTAAAAGGCCTTGAAACTTTGTATACTTACTAATTTTGAGGTGTTTTTTTAGTGATTTAGTTCATTTCTAAATTTGGGCACTTTTTAACACTCGTCCCTAGTCCTCTCATCAATTTCGGAGTGGCTAATTGGAAAGTGGGTTTCCTTTATTGACTTCAATATTTACAACAATCCAGTACTGTACCTGATAACATCATCTGGAAGTAGGGAATCCACATCGTAAATATCTTCATTTGACTGTATAAAAATAACTTATTTTACGAATTACCACGATGAAAGTTTTTTATTGAAGAACAATTTATAGATGTAAAACAAACATTTCCTGATATGGAGCCACCTCTAAGTCAGCTTGTAAGATGAATTCAGGTTTTTCAGCATATTCAGAGTATGTATAGGATAAAAAGTGAGGAGGGATTTATGTCAGATAATGACCCAAGGATGTGAAGCATCCGAGGGCATTATCTGACAAAAATCCAGACTTTCGAGGTGTTTATAATATTTAATTCTTGATTGAGAAGTTTTTCCAACAACGTTTTGTCTGTTTCGTTATCCCGGGTCATTCGTATCTAGGACATTGCAGTTGAGATCTCCCAGGATGTTGATAGGTTTGTTAAAGGACAAAGCTGACACTAAGGTTTCGCTGAAATCATTGTCAAAACAAGATAAACTACAATCCTGGTCGAAAATATTGGCGCACTTGACACGGACTGTGCAAAATTTGACTCCCACTTCAATAACAAGCATAGCAACCCCCCTTTCCCCCGTTCAATGTTGTCTGTAGTGTGTTATACGTCCAAGGTGTTACACAACATTGATAAGGGGGATAGGGGGTGTTTGGACATGAAATGTTGCATAAAATTGGCAAGTATTTATATGGTAATCAGAAATGAAGTAAAGGTTATGCTATTTCGACTAAGTGCGCCAAGGATTTTTGACCAGGATTGTAGTTCCAGGTGGATGGTAAGCTGTACATACGAAAAATGATCTGAAGTTTATAACTTGTATCTGTAGCCATAACTGATGTAAGCCAGAGTCTGCAATATAAGATAGTTCATTCATGGTCTCACATTTGAAACTTTGGTTGATACCTTAGGCACAGACACCACCTCCTCTCTTTCTGTCATGGTCAAGTCTTATCCAGGCTTACGAATATGTCTTATCCGTGCTTACGGATCGAAAGCTTTGCAGTAATAAATTTACTTGGTGTTTCTATTATACACTATACATTGTTTGCTTGCACCATCAAATAAATAGATTTCCAAGCAAATTACAATATATTGTATGATTAAAGTTCATTTGCCATACTGGTAATTTGTTAAAATAACTACCAAATATAAATACAGACTGTCATGAATTACCTTGGGAGTGTTGTTCACTTCCAATACTTCTGGTCGATCATCATCACTCCCAGAATCACATATAGTTATTATATCTAAGGAAAATATAAAATAATTTAGTAAGTTCCACATTTTCCCTATATTATGTTTTATGCAGACCTGGGAGGCATCAATATTTGGCCAAAATTGGAGAAAAAAAACATTTGTACATATTTACAGTTATTTCAATATTTTAACCAAAACAATGTACAAATTGCACATTGAACAGTGTTAACCCACTAAGACACAAGAGTCTCAGACCCTTGATGAATGACAAGTAAAATTGTCTGGTGTTAGAGTGTGCCTATTTTCCACTATTTTTAGCTAACTACCAATACTACATACCTTCTAAATCACTGGGCTGACATAACATATTGCTGAAAAAAAAAAGCAACACATCTGCATAACAACATAATTTGGAAGCAAATTTAAGATAACATGAATTTTCATTATTTTATGATGATTCCAAGGAAAAGTGAGAAATGAAAATTTATGGAGTGGCCCAAAAACTGTGTGTAACTACTTTGGAAAACAATTAAGCCATTAAAATGCAAGGTCCTCCCTTGAAGAGCAAAATCATCTGGCATTTGACGAGTAAAATCAGACAATGATAGCACATGAAGAGTGGAAGACTATTAGATTTTAGTACAAAATTAGGTTTATGTATGTTTTCTGTCGTGAATCTACTGTATGTCTTCATTTTTAAATTACGCTTTCCACTCTGTGACTATGTTTAAAAAATAGTCCAAAAGTCATTAATAATGGCGGGGCGTGGGTGATAAATACCAAATATTGAACTTTTCCAGAGCCACCCCAATCGCAAGACCTTTATTTTCAAGATGCCCCCACTTTCTTATAGAAAATTTAGGAACCCTGTAACTAATTTGTTACATTTTTGGTGTAAAATATATAATGGGACAAGTACTGGTGTAAGACATTGTGTAGCCTATAAATAATTAGAGGACCAGTATTCAAAATGGTTGTTATTTACTCAAACTGCCACAGGTGGACTACATATCACAAAATTGGGGTCACCCGTCCCTTGTCACATATTTTTCAGTTTGAGGCCGCCCCCAATTCAGGGGAGAATAGTTGAAGCTGTCCCCCCTTTTCTCACCCACCGCCCCCTCCCATTATTAATGACTGTCCCTTAGCACTCATTATTATGCATGAATCATTGCCAATTCCATGAGTAACCACTCCCCCCCCCCCGCTGAGACACTACCTAAAGTCAGACCATTGTAAATAAGACCATGTTAACACTATTTATTATATAAAGTATAGTGCTTTATACAGATTTCGAGCACTGATAAAAGTGATAATATCACATGTGAGATTATTCATGATAATCTCACATGTGAAAATTATCGCTTTTCAATTATCGCTGCGCTCACTCGTGAGATATCATGTTCAACACTCGAAATAAATCTGGTATTTCCACGCACCCATGTATTATTCTCTATATAAACACTCTGCTTTGGTGTAGTTATGCAACAGAAACAATGTCAGTACTCTGTAGGTACATCTACAGTAAAAACCGATTCGATATACTTTGATTTTACAGTTTAAAGAATAAATATTTACGATACTACAAGTACAACTACAAGCGCGTCAGCGCGATGAAGCAGCCAAACAGAGATCTCAAAGTGCTGTTTATTATGCATATTATATTAAAATTTACATACCTTGAATGGCTTGAATGAGCAAGTTTATACCAAACATGTGCTCGACCAGCTGTCCAGGACTCCAGGTATATAACGTCGCGTTGCGGTCAGTGTTATATTTGTGCAAAAGCTTGGTACTTCATCTTGCAAGGATATAGTGGATACGTAAAAAGTCCTACCACCTTAATTAATTAATTTAATAGAGGGCCCCCTATACCTCTTCACAATATACTTTCACGTAAAAATATTTTTCCTTTTCACGAGTCACGAAAAATTTAAAAAAATCCTTCACGTTCACAGATTAAGAAAATCATCGATCACGTTTCACGGCTAAAATAGGCCCATCACGATTCACGCAAAAAGTATAAGGGGGCCCATCACGCTTCACGCAAAAAGTATAGGGGGCCCTCTCAATAGGCAATTCCAGCTTTTAGTTTATGCGTGCAGGGGGGAGTAAGGTATCATATGGCAGCTGATTACGCTGGAAAAAATATTTCGGTTGTTTCAGCAGTTTCTATTGAAATTTTTCAGCATAATCTACAATATGATACCTTTCTTCCCGTCACTCACAGACTCACTGCGAGTATAAATTAAAAGCTGGAATTGCCTATTGTGCGGTGACACGCTCTGGGTGACACGGTTGCGGTATATATCAACTGGAACCCAGGGTAATATTAACTATCTAATACTCATGGTCGTGTTAGGTTATTTTAGCTATTTTGGATCGCTTGGTTATTTATGTCGTTTTATATTGTTTTTTATATTGGCCGTTTTAGATCGTTTTCGGTCGTTTCTACAGTTTTAGATCGTTTTAGATAATTTTACTGGTCGTTTTAGGTGGTTTTACTGGTCGTTTTAGGTGGTTTTACTGGTCGTTGTAGATCGTTTTAGGTGGTTTTAGGTCATTCCTTGTTTTAGTAACTACACCCAATCAGAACTGTTGAGTATTGTCAATACATTGCACGCGAGCACTTTACATGACAGTGGTGTAACTTAACTTTTTTTATCACTTGCCATCAGGGAAAGTTGGACATTAAAATCGGTTGCCCTGAATGAAATCCACTTGCCTTCAAATCTAGCTTTTGCCCACATGCTAATTTGAAGCAAATTATTGCAGTAACGATGGAATGCTACTACACTCACAATATACCAATAGAGCCATGGGTGCACAAGTAAAAAAAAACAAATGGAAAACAAAAACAGTTTTTAGTCGATGAATGAGAATATACTTAAAGTTGGCCAGCTTATTCTTGCAAAACAACTTGCGGGATCTGGTATTTGGGCAACGAAGAAGACACTTCTACATACCTGCCCTTTATGATTTTCACTTGCCTGGGCAAGCGTTAAGTTACATCACTTCAGAATTATTGTGATCATTATATTTATTACATGATTATATACTTACAGGAAAATTTGAAAATCCAGGAAGGGATGCACAATATTGCTGAACTGACACCTTGGCAACAAGAAACATTTTTTCCACCAATTCCATTAACCCAAATGTAAAGGCCATTACTGTTTTGGTGGGGGTAGCAAGCCAGAGACCTAGTTCAACTAAAGTACATGCTTCACTTTTGCATCTACAAAACATCACTGGGTATTCATGTTGAAATAACAACACTTGTTATATAAATGGGCAAACCAATAATTGAAAAAAGGTGTCCTCTGAGACTCTAACATGAAAATCACAATGGGGACCATCCCCATCATGATATCTGCATGCAGCTTTTTCAAATTCAACTCCCTGTAATTGAGTATGATATCTGTACTGTCAATGCAAAACATAGTGATCTGAGTACAACTAACCTTTCTCATCAGTGATCAAAACAGGTTTTAAATATTCCAACTCAGGTGGGAATCGAACCTACAACTATTGGAATACTAGCCCAGTGCTCTGCCAACTGAGCTACACGGTCAGGTCGGTTCGAGTATGCGATATTTCGGAACCGGAGTCTAGTTCCATTGATATCTAGTGCTTAGATTACACTGATATCGAAGGAACTAGATTCCGAAGGAACTAGACTGACCACATAGCTCAGTTGGCAGAGCATTGGGCTAGTATTCCAAAGGTCGTAGGTTCGATTCCCACCGTGGCTATGCATATTTTTCAAGCCTGCCCGGTGTGGATATACACTCAGAGTAACATCACACAAGCATCTTATTCACCTGAGTACATTACTCCAACACAGCAAATATCATGATTATTAGGTTACACTGATATTGAAGGAACTAGGTTCCGAAATATTGCATACTCAAACCGACATGACCGTGAAGCTCAGTTGGCAGAGCATTGGGTAGCCTGCGCGCAGACTATATATTCACATATATAGTCTGCGAATCCGCGGCACAAAGCTTGTATGGTCATGTGGATTTCCCAAGAAAAGTTGGGACGAATTGTGATTGGTTGAACTATAATTATGCAAAATTAATGTTAATTCATCGGAGATATTCATTAATGACACAATATCAATATGGCGTTGAACATCATGCCTATGGCACTGGAAGGCGAAACTTTTACACCGGCACTTCACATATATGCTACTATGCTGAGTGTGAAGTGATCGCAGAAGATGCTTCAGACACCTTATTTTATCGAGTATTGTATCGTTGTTGCCATAGACGAAGCTCATTGCATTAGCAAATGGTAAGCTTTGTTTTTGACAAAAGATTTAATTCTTTTATTTCTTGTAGTTGTATATCTTTAAAAATTCAGTAGCAAATGAATAAGTATCATTGACCTCATTGTCCAGTATGTCTCATTGTAATTGTACAGGGTGTATAAAAAAAAAGGAGACCTTTAGAAATCAAGCATATTGTTAAAATTTGAATGCCTTTTCAATTGCACATATGCTGAACTGTAGTGCGTGAAATATTGATGGGGTGCATATATTAGAAAAGGGAGACCTTTAGAAATTGAAATAACGTTTAAACAAAAGATGGTCTGCTCCTGGGAACAATCTGACATGCATACTGTATGTAGATCGCATGTTACACACTCGTCAGTCATGGGTTAAGCAAAGTGCTCCAGGATTCAAATTATAACAATGGTTGATTTCTAAAGGTCTTCTTTTTCTAATATATGCACTCCATATGTGCAATTGAGAAGGCATTCAAATTTTAACAATATGCTTGATTTCTAAAGGTCTCCTTTTTTTTTATACACCCTGTATATGCCTGGGCTCGATTACTCAAATACTACGGTATTATGCTGATCATGCCTTAATTACTGAAGGAAAGTTTACTTCAAACACTTCGTACCCTGGGGGCAGCTGTTCAAAAGCCGGTTAGCTTAATCTTGGGTTAATTTATAACATAAAATTCAAAGCAAACTTCCCAGCAGTCTGTTTACAAATCTGGACACATTTCAGAAATCTGTCTGGATCATTAGAAATTTAATTTTCAAAAGTTCTGAAATAAACAAACATGCAGAAATACTTAAACCAAAGCAATGGATTAAATTTTAACCCAGAGTTAGTGCTAATTATCCTTTGAACAAGCGGACCCTGCAGTGTTTTCTACAAGGGGTATGGGTAATATAGATTACCCCATTACACTCCCCTTGACAAGCAAAATCATATGGCATTAGACATAGTAAAATAATCTCCAATTAGACTGAATAAAATAAAATAATCAATTTAAGCAAAGCTATAAATTGCGGTTAATGGAGTAATATGTTCTGAAGGCTCTATCTGCCCGAGGGTGTTTTCAG